CAATTACTTGTAACCATATTCAAGCACTATAATTAGAAATGCAAGTGTTTACAAAAAGTCTCGGAAATAAACAAAGGTGCATTTACTTGGACACAGAGAGCTTGCTACTAGAAGCCAATTAGATGGTGAACACTACTAGAAAGAAAATTAGCAAGCGCAACCCAAATGAATTTAAAAATGCTTGCTTTGTCGATACCTGAATCGATGTGCAGTCATCTCAAGTAGGCTCATAGTTGACTGACTTATACGGGATGAAAGAAGGCCCATGTCAAAGAGGTCTTCGAGGAATAAGAAATCAAAAAGCAGGTTTTTACAGTGCCTCGCTTTACAAGTGCCAGAAACCAAGAATTCCTTAGAAAACCCAACTCTAAGTCTAGGTCTTTCTCCATCAGGAAAAGCAACAAAAGTTAAAACCTTACCTAAGAAGTCGTTGACAATCACTAAGTATCTTACAATGAGTCTAATACAATTGTAATTACCCCACTGGAAGCTGATTAATGGATGTAAATAACGAATGAGAAACGATAAAATGTCAAGACGGTCTTCTTAACCTTGGCCAATAAGTTGAAGGCTGATAATGGTGACAGTCAGTCAGTCAATTATAATGTAGAACTTCGTACGTACGTACGTGAGCTGAGGTTGCTATACCGCATTAGCAGAGTCCAAGAGAGCAAGAGCTCTAAGCCCAGAACTCTCAGTATTTCATTGGATTGACAATAGGTTCACGCAACTTGCTAATAGTTTTAGGTATCTCTAAGGTTATCTTGCTGAAGGTTTGTAAAACGGGCTGCCGAAAAGACTCAAAAGAAATCCAAACCAGGCTTCTATAAATGACATTTGAATCTCGCAATGGAAACAAACCGAGGGGATAGGGAGTTTCTGACCATAAAGACTTGTTCTTTGTGGGTCGTATGGAGAAAAGATAAATTGTAAAAGGACTAAAACTTAGATTAAATAATGATAAACGGGACCTTGGAATCTCAAAACTTTTGGGTGGTGAGACCTTGAAAGAAAATGATGCCAAAGCCACTTTGAGCATCAGGAAACCAGTTTTATTCTCTCCGGATCTGTCACAAGAATGATTAGAGCTTGCTCAAACAGCAGCCGAAGCTAAGTTTGCAGATAGAGTATCAATTAGTATGTAATCACTCAATCTGTGGATAATTAAGAAACTGGGCTCGAAATTATAACCTTGGAGCCTATGGAACAAAAAGCGTAAAGGAGTAGTAGTAAATATGCTCACTAGGAATATAATATTTTTACGTCTGTACATTAAGCGTCTTCAAGAGGCTAGACAAAAGAATCAGAATCTCTTATTCAAACGGCTTGGGAATAATTTAAAATCTTTACATAGATGCATGTCTCCTGGATTACGCCAAGTAGTCCAAAAACCTCCCCATCGTTATTGAGTAGGGAAATTTACTTCCTTCGCTTTAAAAGGGAAAGAATATGAGAGAGGTTTGAGACAGTGGGCACTGCAGAAATAAAATCTCAATATCGGAAAGCCCGAAATACTTGTGTCCCAACCCTTCACAAGTCGAAGATTTTATGAAGAAGGCTTCTTAAGGAAACTATAGAATATCCAAAACGCTTATATTTAGCGGCATCTTGAAATCATGGGTAGATAGTAGTACTACATCTTTAGTGAAGGTCAGTCATTGTTAATCACGTATGTTCTCTGGTTTCCTTACTAACTGATAGATTTCCATTAAGGAACTTCAGGTCTATGGGCTGTTAAATGGGCTTCATGTGGGTAAACCGATGAGACTCACTGAGGTGCATCCTCGATTATCTAATGTGCTCGTATCTCGTAATCTATCTGTAATCCAGGTAGGTCACTTAAAGACTGGAAGAGTTTCATAAGTCCTATCTTAAAAACAGGTACGAGACAAACCCGGGAACTCTCCGATAATACAACAAACTTAAGTATTTAGGTCTTAGAAAAGGGTATTCTTAAATTTATTATATTATGACAAAATTATCTATGAAAAGCTGCACGGCTCTGAACGGGTTATTCATATCTGATGAACCCATTAATTGCTTACAAATGTTGTCATGTTCTTAAAAACCAATAGCTACTTATAGATGCGGTCTTCATTGGCTTTAGGAAGACGTTTGACAAAGTCCCTCACGACCTGTTTTTATTTACTTTAAGTGTTATCGGGATCGGAGGCAACCTACTCCTGTGGATTAAAGATTTCACATTTTTGCGTCAATAAATAGTACGGGTTAACTCTGAGTTGTTTAGCAAAGAAATGGTGATTAGCGGTATGTCTCAAGGAACAGTTTTGGGGCCACCATGGTCTTACCATGGTATTACATTATCATAAACTTGATTAATGTACACGAGCAGTCTGTCCCTGTCGAAAAATGATAGTTAGATGTAGCATTTATGCTAAAAATTGCAACTTAGCTGATTTCTGTGATCACATCGATTCCAGACGACAAAAGACTGACTAAACTAAACCTATTTACCTTGTCATATGTTAGAACCAGAGGTTACTTGATCAGAATTTTGAGACTACTCGATGAGAAATTCGCACCTATAATTCTAATTTGTCTCGTCTATTAAAGCAAAAAATTAGAGGGATACTAAAAATTTCTGATCAATTTACCGAGGATTTGTGCAATCGAGAACTGATTTAAACAAGATCGCTCTTAAGCAACAAACCTATTTTAAACCTTGAAATATGCCTAAGACTGTCTAATAACTTAGTTGAGAAGAAATCAACATTTCTATTATGGCTTTGTAGATCAAAATCCTCAGCGTGTTAAGACATGAATTAGCTGATAAGATTACGTATAAATATATACATTTTTAGTCATACTAACATATTAGGGACTACTCACCTTACCAGAATCGAAGACCTCCGTAACATTTAAAGGGTTCGTCTCATCTTTTGACTCGGCATTACTATTTTGCATTGCTTCATATAAGATCTTGGTTATTTTCATAAGTTCCCTTACGGCAAATCCATCTGCCTGATATAGCTTTTTACTGTTTAGTTTGACACATGCTTTTGTGAAAATCAAGTGTGTTACTACCTTTATAAACAAAACGCGATCTTGTTCCGAGTCAAGGCGCGATGGTAAGTCAACATGAGAGTCATACCGGAGAACTAACCATCTGAGGATTTCAGCAATCAAAGGGAAATTTGGAGTTCGGAAATTTTCTAGGGATATGACACGAGGGTATCCCAAAGAACGCATCATCTCAGTAAATAACCGCATTTCACGGAAAGACATTTCGACCTGACTGTTACTAAGATACGAAAAGGCGCTAGGTACTTCGTGAATAAAGTAAAACAAAGTACCCTCACAAATATCAACAAGCATATGAAAACAATATCTATGCTTTTTAATAAGGGGTCAATAAGTAACGGATTTTGGTTATGTCTTATTCCATTAAAATTCATCATATTAAGACCGGACATGCGGGTACGGTTCCAATATCCAATACCTTTTTCATGATTTAGTATAAACCAGTTGTTTTTGTGAGACTGCTTCTTGTTGTTTCGATATTATTCTCGATATTTTGTGTTAATGATACCTATTACTAAACAGCAGTGTGTTACATGATGCTCGCCGGTTTACAGGCTAGATCGAATTCTTACAAATACTATCATATTTACTGTAATAGTTTTCTCAGTTGCGTTAACGATATTCTTTTCTGAAAGTGCAGGTTCACGCCATTCCACAGATATTATCAATCTGATGCGATGACATTTCTAACAAGTGATCACAAGTAGGTTAGTTAACCAGCAAAATTCATAATTCCGGTGTGAGTCACGAGATGCTGTTTAAGAAGATTTACTTTCAGAGTATTTGTGTAATGAGACAAGTTATGAAGTTCATACCTGGTAGAAAGTGCCGATTCAAAGGTGCCTGGTATAGGTTGTGGTCTTGAAGTACTCGTTCATAAGGTATGCGTTGCGTATAGGAAGATTCATGACTATTCATAGCTGTTCGGGTTCTGAAGAAAAACAAAGGAGATCAGGAATAAAGAGCAGTTAGGCGATAGGAATATGACTAGAGAATCGTTAACCGTTCATGGCGGATTAGATAAAGTAATGGTAGGCCAGTAGACAGAACTCATTCAACCTGCTAAAATTAAAATAAATTGCAGTAAGACAGCCCTTAAACTAGTGAATAGAAAGGTAAAGAACAGAGAGCTGTGACGTGTATCTAGTTGTA